CTAATCTGACTGAGCTGGAGCTGTTTTACAAAGAAGAATGGGCAAAGATTTCAGTCTCTAGATGTGCAAAGCTGCTAGAAACATACCCCAAAAGACTGGCAGCTGTAATTGCAGCAAAAGGTGGTTCTACAAAGTATTGAATCAGGGGGCTGAATAATTATGCACACCCCACTTTTCAGTTATTTATTTGTAAAAAAAAAAAATGTTTGGAATCATGTTTGGAATGTATGATTTTCGTTCCACGTCTCACGTGTACACCACTTTGTGTTGGTCTTTCACATGGAATCCAATAAAATTGATTCATGTTTGTGGCAGTAATGTGACAAAATGTGGAAAAGTTCAAGGGGGCCGAATTCTTTTGCAAGCCACTGTATTTGTCATAAAATCAAGATACATCTTACTCCATTAAACACTTAAAGCCTGCATACACACCATATTTTGAAGATGTCTAAACTTCTCCAAATCTTCTCCTGGCTACTTTCACTATTTTTTTTTAAATATTAAACTAGTAACAGGAAAGAAATAACAGAAGTTGGTGGAAAGTGTCAAGTACAACACAAAGATTTCTGGATAGTTCCATCCTAATGTGACACAGCGCTTGTCATAAATTTGGAATAAAGAGGTCTTGATGCATTTTTGTATTGGTTGTAAGATGAATAAGATATTTTTGACTCTTTGCAATTTGTTTTCTTGTTGATTCCTTAATTTTTGTTTTTTTTATGTTTTTTGTTTTTGGCTTCCCAGGATTGTCTGTGGCAGTTAAATTCAGTGGACTATGGACAGTGGACTATAGTTTGTTTTCTGGTTGTCTGTGTTGGGCTTTCCTGTTTGTTACAAAGATTAATAATGGATCCTGGATTGGAAGAGGAACAAACCAAATTAAAAAGAAGAACAAAATGTTGCAAATCGCAGATTATTTTTTACATGCTGTGCATCATCAATTTCATTGCGCCGGTTGATGGATTTTCCCTGAAGACTTGCAGAATCAGCTACAGTACGGCCATATGTGTCGGAAGTAAACTCAGAGCTGTTCCTGAAGATATTCCCTCAACTGTGACAGGCCTCGATTTAACTTCTAACAGAATTTCAACAATACATGCATCAGACTTCAAAGATCTACTAAATTTGACTAAGTTAGACCTTAATATCAACAACATTTCACAGATAGAAAGTGGTGCGTTTGCCAATCTAAGTTCTCTTGAGACATTAAATCTAAATAATAACAAACTTGTTACACTGGGAGAAAATGTTTTTGATGGCTTGAGTTGCCTCATTGAGCTAAGAATTAATCAAAATCGCATTAAACAAATGGCATCCACATCTTTTAAGTCCATGACAAGTTTAAAACTTCTGGACATTTCTCATAACAAACTGCACCACATTACAAAAGTTCAATTGATATTGCAACATCTGCCACATCTACGGGAGCTGGTAATAAGCAACAATGATTTAACCACTTTTCAGTCATTTGAACTGACAAACAAATCATTAGAACTTCAGTACCTTGATTTGTCTAAAAATCCCCTCGCAGTCTTCAGGATCACTGCCGATGTTTTTCCAAATCTCACCTGGTTTAAAATTGGGAGCCCAGCCAGAAAGAAACAGATGATATGGGACGTGCAAAACAAGACATTTCTTAGTCGTGTTACTACTCTTGACATTAGTGAGCTTCATTTGGGTCTTGGGGACATGGAAAGGTTGTTAGAGTCAGTGAACTCATCATTAACTATTCTGAGAATGAATGCAATGACACATAACCTGACCACACTGATCAACATTTCCTGCACCATCCCAACAATGAGGACTCTGCAGCTTCGAAGCAATAAGCTCAGCTTTGTTAATGCATACTTGTTTAAGTTGTGTATTAATGTAACTGAGTTAGTTTTGACAGACAACAAAATAAAATACATCCATGATGATGCTTTCAGATCCCTTAAAAACTTAAGGATTTTAACGCTGAGTAAAAACAGGCTTCCACTGGTTCCAGCTGCAACAAGGAATCTACCAACTCTTTCAGAGCTGGATCTCAGCACCAATAACATCAGCACACTGGACTGCCATGATTTCACCAATCAGACAAAGCTCAGAAAGCTTTATCTTTATCAGAATTCAATCACAGCTCTGAAACCATGTCTTTTCAAGGATTTAAAAGGATTACAAACTCTAAAATTACAGACAAACCAAATAACTAAATTGAACAGTGCTTTCAAAGAACATTTGCCAAACCTCACACAGCTGCATTTGAATGGAAACAAACTCACTGCTATCAAAAGGGATGCATTTAAAGGCTTGCACTCCCTCCAGAACCTGTCATTACACCAAAACAAAATAAAAGTACTTGAAAGTAAGAGTTTCAGTGGACTGACAAATCTGACCCAAATTAATCTACAAAACAATGATATTTCGCAAGATGAACTAAACAAAGATGTTTTCAGTCCTCTGATCAATTTAAGAAGACTTGATTTGAGTGAAAATCACATCAATTACAAGAAAAGTAGAAATTTGTCGGATCCTCCATTTTCTCAGCTGTCCCATCTAGAGGAACTGCTTGTTTTTTCACAACACCACAGGTTGCATAGTTATCTGCCTGGGAACTTTTTGCAAGGTTTGACCAGTCTTTTGAGTTTCAAAGCCAGGAATATCCGTATTGCGTCTCTGGACAAAGACACCTTTGTTTACACGCCACAGCTGCAATTACTTGAACTTTCTTCAAATGAACTTAAAGAACTCCCTCCAGATCTGTTTTTCCCAATTCCAAACCTTAAAAGCCTTTATATATCCAGGACAGCTCTTTACTCTCTAGAGTTCCTTAAAGATGCCAGCCTCACAAAGCTGGAGTTTCTACAGGCAAGACAGAATTTATATTCAGTTATCCGCGAAGAAGATATAAAATCCCTACCAGCTCTGACTTATCTGGACCTTCAGGGCAATGGATTCACCTGCAACTGTGATAACAGCTGGTTTCTCTCGTGGGCAATAAATAACAGCAAAACTCAGGTTTATGATGCATATAACTTTACGTGCAACTATCCACAAGAATTCAAAAGTAAGAAGCTGTTGGACTTGGACACCAGCTCCTGCTCAGATAACACTGACTTTATTTGTTTTCTCTGCACCACATGTGCAATCCTATGCTTGATGGTGGTGTCCTTCACTTACCATTTTATGGGGTTGCAGCTGGTCTATGCCTATTACCTGTTCATAGCTTGGCTCTTTGATAGAAAGCACAAAAACAAGAAAACTCATCATCAGTACGACGCCTTTATCTCCTACAACACCCACGATGAGCCTTGGGTCATTGACAAGCTCTTACCAAAACTGGAAGGAGAACAGGGCTGGAGACTGTGCCTACACCATCGAGACTTTGAACCAGGTGAGATGCAAGTTTGAATTAAAGTTAAATATTAATGGCTTGACAAGTGGGATGTCTCTTAAAATTGTGTGTTTGTCGGTATCTCTGTTTAACCCTTGTATGGTGTTCGGGTCTGTGAGACCCGTGTTCAGTTTTTTTCAAAAGAAAAATTAAACAATTAATTATTTTTTCACGTGTAAATGTGTTGTGTCTTTCCACTCACTCCACTTGATTATAACTGATTTATTTATAACATTTTATATAAAAGAAAAACGAGAAGCACATTAATTCATAAATGTGATCTAACAAAGGTAAAGGGAAAAAATTAACCATGTTTGCTGTTCATATGTCTTGTAATTGGGATGAAGTAAACATCTGTTGAGTAATTTAACATAAAATTGTTTGATAGTGTTAATTTGGAAAGCCAAAACTCTAGCGGGTCCACCAGACCCATGAACACTGGCTGAGTAACAAAAATACGAACACCACACAAGGGTTAATCCCAACTAAATTATTAGATTCAGGACATTTTCTAGAATGTTTTCAGAAAAATGTAACATCATTTGACTTATGCAGTTATATTTGAAGTGGCAGTTAGTCTCTCTTTTGATTTATATAATTGCACTATCTAACAATTATCTGGAGACAATGAGGGCATGCTGTTAGAAGCTTTTGCAGTCAAATGTGCACTTTCATATGTACTCCAGAGGGTGTCACTATACTACTTTACTAAAAAGCTGAGGATACAAACCTCATGGTTTTATTACTGGCTGTGTTATTTTTCTTCTCTTCATTAGGGAGACCCATCATAGATAACATTACAGATGCTATTTATGGAAGCAGGAAGACCATTTGTGTGATCAGTCGCAAATACCTCGAGAGTGAATGGTGCTCCAGAGAGATCCAGGCAGCCAGGTAACCTGTTGGCGCACCACAAGACTGTAGCAATAACATTAAAATATAAAATTGAAATTGAAAGGTATTAACAGTGCTTTTATGCTAATGTCAACAGTGACAATGGCACAACCAAAGTTACTCCAAATACAGTGCCATGAAAAAGCATCTGCCCCTTTACTGATTTCTTTTTTCTTCTACTTTTTTTTTTGTTTTGTTTTTTTGCATATTTGTTACGCTTACATGTTTCAGATTATCAAACAACATTTAATATTGGACAAATGTAACCAAAGCAAATAAAAAAAATATTTTTTTAAAAGATGATTTAATTTATCAAGGGGGAAAAAAGCTTTCAAACCTACGTGGTTGAGTTCAAAGTTGAGTTCAAATTCACTAACCATACCCAGGCCTGATACTCCCAGACCTGTTAAATCAATAATTTACTTAAACAGAACCTGCCTGACAAGGTAAAACATCTCAAACAGCAATTCAGCATGCAAAGATCTAAAGAAGCTCAAGAAAGATAAGAAAGTCATTGACGTCTGTCAGTCTGGAAGGGGTTATAAAGACTTTGGGACTTCAGCGAACCATGGTGAGAGCCATTATCCACAAAACTTGGAACATCAATTAAACTTCCCATGAGTGGCCAGCCTAACAAAATTACTCCACTTTTTATTGGGAGTTACAGAATTAGAAATGAGAATATCAGAGAGACAGCTCAGGTTGACCTGTTTGGAGACAAAGTTTGAGAGGCAATGTTAAGATGGCTTAGGAGGTCACATAGGAGGTTCATGGATGTGAAGCAGGACGTGCTTAACTGCATCTACTATATGTGGTGGAAAAGGATAGGTTGAGATGGAGGCAGATGATCCCCTGTGGGTGACCCCTAAAGGGAACAGCTGAAAGAAGAGGACTTGACATGACTGTGTTCCACTATGTGATTTTCTGATCTGTGCAGCACTGTACAGTTAGGTTACACCGGCATGCTTAAAATTTCATCGTTTTTTGGGGGTTTTTTGCTAGCTTTTAATTTCCTCTTTAATCTGCCATGTTCACAGGTGTTTTATTTTATTCTCTTAAAACATGTTTATTTAATTTATTTTTGTATTATCTTCATTACTTTACTCTTTTAAAGAGAGTACTTATGCATCCCTTTTCTCCCTCTTATCTTTAGTTTCCGTCTGTTTGATGATCAGACAGACGTTCTAATCCTGGTATTCATGGAGGAGATTCCCAGCTATCTGTTGTCTCCTTACCACCGCATGAGAAAGATGATAAAGAGGAAAACCTACCTGAGCTGGCCGCGGGCTGGAGAGCACACCGAGCTGTTCTGGGAGAAACTTTGCCAGGCTCTGGAGACCAGAGAAGATCCAGAAGGAAAGATGTTACTTCTCACTGTGTCAACTGTGCCATGAGGAAATTAAAGCAATTTTTTTTCCTATTTTTTTTTCTCTTTTTTAAAGGTTATAGATTTATTTTTTTATTTTTTAATTCCATGATAATAGTTTACAGTGTTCTGATGTTTCATTATTTTAAAAGTTTTGAGTGTTTCTCCAGCAAATATTTGAAGTTTTACTTACTTACAGAAATGTTGGTTTTAAACAGAACCAGTGAAGCAAGAAAAGATGAAACAAATGTCTATGATAACTTCACTGCAATTTCTTGTTAATCAAAGTATTACAGAGTCAGCATTTTGGTCGATTAAAATGCTGCACATAATTCATTCAATCATACATCGTCTTTTTGCATTACTGAAACAAAGAAGTTTTGCAAGAAGTAAGAGACAATGATTGTCAACTGAATATAACTTACATAATAAATGACTGAGAATCATAATGAATATATAAGAATATCTTACTATATCTATCGTAGATAAAGGACACATTATATGTATAATAAATGCAAACAAAGCCTTTTAAACAAGTCTAAAGTATAATATCTCTCTTGGTTTAATTACTAAGCTTGTTTAGTCACTGCTGATACATAACAATGGAAAATCACATTTCATGCACTGTAAAAGTAATTTCAGTTCTTTTCTAACTTTATTTCAGCCTTCCTCATTAAGATGTCTGTTGTTCTTTGGCTTGTGTGAACTTTGCACCCTCTACTTATGCCAGTGTTATTAGACAGGTGGTTCACCCACAGGTTTGTTTATTGAAGAGTTAGGTAGTTAAAGTTAAGATAACCCATAAAACCATCCTGCAACAAATGTACCAAGCTCAGATACATTGGAATTATCCAATTAAACCACTATTTCTCTAATAGGTAACACATTTTGTCCATCTATAAGTGCCTCCCCACAGTTACTAAGAAACAAAGTTTGTTAAATTAAAATCATATGGATAGTAAGACACAAACTAGTGACTGACAAGATACAGTCATAAGAAAAGTGTTCACTGAGATCATAGAGTGAGGCAACTAAAAGGCTATTTTCCCATTGTCTATGCAACAAAAGGCATCACCCCTTGCTGGCCATCAGAAAGAAAACAGGTTTATAACTCTTCTACAGTGGCTCAATTTTTCAGACTTCACAGTCTATGTGAATGAACTGAACTTAAACATATCCCTTCATTTGTGATCATATTCCTTCCATTCTGAATATTTTGTTCTATGAATAATTACATTAAATAACGAACATCTTTAATTTGTATTCCAGTTATACAACAGGAAAAAACATTGATGTTCTTTTTCCAATGTTTAACACTAGGATTTAAACCTTTTAAACAGAGATGTAACCTTATAAATATGGTATTGTACATATTTATCACTGTTTGCTAATCACTGTCAGCTAATTTCTTTTTATTTAGGATCCTTTTTTTCCCCGATGTACAATAAGGACAAAAATTTGACAGCGTGTGGTTGTTTGTGGAGTCCATACAGACAGACATGTGTTTTTATCAAATAACTCTTTTAATAAATTCTCTGACAAATATTAAATACAATAATTATCTCACACTTTCTGAAAATACAGGGTTTTATATTTCATCTTCTTCAGAAAATAAATCAAACAATAATACATATAACAAAATAATAATATTTTACATTACTTTAAAAAAAGCACAAGTTTTTTTGTTGTTGAAGCACTAAAGCTTATAGCTCACACATGTATTAAGAATACTACTCTTCCCTGTTTATAAAACAGAATAAATAAAAGGAAAGGTCACACAACAAATTATATTTATGTGTAGATTTACTATTATGATAATATTAGTGCAGATAAGAACACTTAAAGAGAGTTTAAGATGCATTGTTGTTAGAATTTTCTTTGTTGGTCTTCCGCTTCTTTTCACTGCAAAAAACAAAATCAATGAAATAAGATCAGTTTGACTCACTGAGCAGCTGAGAGTGAATATAAGGCACAGACAAACAATACACCACAGGGGCATTTATACTTACTCATAACACTTCATCACTTTCTGGGTCAACGGCTTTGATGGATCGGCACACACAAACCTTCCCGGAGCATGAAAACTGTTGGGAAAGAGGATGAAAGCAGTCATTTACCCTCAAGATACAGTTTCTCTCGATGGAGTTTCATTCCAGTGTGTTAGCTTGATTATTAACTGCAGAGCGTCCTGAAGTTATCGTGATTGATTTTTAGTCACAGATTAAATGCTGTTTTGCTATTTAGATACACAAGGTTTAGTCCGTCCGAGAGAGCGCAAATGCCAAGCACACACAGCCATTATCTTTTCACCACAAGGTGAAATGTGCAGATAAGATATGTTACACAGAATTTATAACCAGACACCAGGATGAAAGATTGGCATTAGCTCTTGCTGTTTTTGTACATGTGTATCACATTACTGGTTAAGTTTCCTATCTATAGTCTTTCCTTGAGAATACCACTACTTAAGTTGGCCCACATAAACTGATTGAACAGATATTTATGAGCAGTCTTAATTCATTCCCGAAAATTCTTAAATGTGAGCATTTCTCTTTTTATGTAATAATAATACATTTGATATATAAACTTTTCCATAATCTAAAATCTTTGTACAGAGTAAACACTACTCAAAAACTAGAAAAATGCACAACTTGCTTAAACTTCAACTTGACTACTTCTTAGCGTTTTAGTTTGTTAGATGTCTTATTTCCTCATGAATCTACCTGCTTTTATCATGCTACACTTCCATATAAACCGTTATAACTTACATGATGGCGTTGATGTCACAGGCGTTATTGATGTTCTGAATGGTGTAACCCAGAATCCGTTTGCAAGGAGGCTGACGATTGGAGTACCTCAGGCAGCAGCTCGCTGTAAGCACACACACGCACAAAGAATCCACTATAAATCACACTTTTAACTTACTACTGGCAATATTAGTGAAGGTGCATTAAAATATTAACTAGTATGAAATACCTGATTGTGCGCTGTCAAAAAAGTTGATGATAATGACGAGGGAGCACAGAGCTACCATGAGACACGTTTTCCTGCTTGCCATGGTTGATGAGCCGACTGAGAGCGTTCACTCTGCCTTTCTGTGTCTGACGCTGAAAAGGTGTAACACCTGAAGGCGATCAGAGAGAGTGTGACAAGTGCTACTTGGTGATCACTCCTTTAAGTAGGCCGACTCTCGGAATTTCCCGTCGGGCAGGATTGTGTAATCCTTTGTGTCATTGTTAAAACACTGGAAACAGAGCAGGAAATAGAAAAAATTCCAGCTGGCCCTGACATGGGAGGAAATAAAGTTTAAAAAAAAACATAACAAAAGTTAAACATTGGCAGCCTGAACTATTAGCTTGGCTGGTGCTGGACTCATGTGCAAACTGATTTCCTGAAGAATGAATTCCAAGTGAAACCAGATATCAGTAAAGTACATTTTTAAAGCAGTATTATGTGAATATATGTCATATTCTATACAATTGGAATTAGTTTTTGAAACCAAATGAGTCACCTCCTGGTAGGCATGATTAATAATGCAAATAAACATTTGCATTTTTGTTGTTTTGTTTCTTACCTGTTCCTGCTTAAAGCCTATAGCACTGCTGGATCTGGAGTGGTCTATAATAAGTCAAGCAGCTTAACTCGTATTTCATTCAAGGGAGACCTGAAGAGAATAGCAGTCTTGTAAGTTTTGTACAAAATGACAGAGAATCTGCTGGGAAACCTACTACAAGCAATTCGATTTTGAACAATTTGGAGGGTTTTTTTACTGTTATAACAAGTCATTTATTAGGCCTCAGTTAGACAGGCCTATTGGGTTGTGAAAGCTTGCTGGAGGTTGTTAATAGTCACTAGGTGAAATTGGTCGTAAAAAGGGTGCTAGACCAAAAACGTCCTTGCGATTGCTCGTGGTTGCTAATACACTGCCGCAGTAGTTTGCATGGAACCCAGTGAAAACAGATATCTTGTCATGCAATTATTCACTAACTTACCACCAAGTGGTTGTAAAACGTAAAACAAATTGCAGCCACTCGTCAACTGGACTATGTGGTCACTGTCTGGTCAATAGACCTGCATGATTGCTCTCAGACACCATTTTGATAATCCCCAATCTCCAGTAACTACTTGGAACCGTTCCAGGGATACTTTTCCATGAAATCAGTGGTTGCCGGGCAGTCATGTAGTCTCAGTCACAGGTCACTGGTCACTAGGCCTCGTGTCTCAGGTGAAGTGGAAATCCAACGTCCTTACACTGCCTTTGTTGATTTTTTAACGGTAAGATCAAAACTTCCCTCAAAACTAAGAATGTGGCTTGAATGTTTTATGAAGTCTAACTACTTTCGACCAGCTATTAAACAATATTAAAGCTAGGCAAAAAGGCAATTTTGAATCCTTTAAGCCTCCTTTAAGCCTCTTGACCTCATTACCAGCTATTCTGAGCAAAATGCTGATAAGGCCAGCTTGCAATGCCATTTAACTGCAAGCAAACGATTAGTAGTTTATCAGTGAATATTAGCATCTTGCTATCTAAAGACAAAAATGCTTTTTTGTGGCACTAGTAGAATGCTACTGCTGGGGTTGAATGAAATTCAGCCAAATGACCAAAACTACAGTTCCTCTAGTGGCCACTTGAGGTTAGTGTCAAGAGCAAGTATCAGCCAGCTGTTGGGTTTTTCCACTTAGCGTATTTTGTTAGATTGCTGCTAGCCAAATTTAGAACATCTATAATCACAGTTAATTAAACCTTGTTAACAAGCTAGCACACTGGCATTAGGTTATTGTTTCCCATATCTACCCCTTTGTCTAAAAATATATATAGCCACACCCAAAATCCAAACATGAAGCCTCAAAAAAGAGAAAAAATAGGCTTTTGTGGTCAGGAACAAGGGTGCTATTGTTGCTCACTGTAAGCTGTATTTAACATCTGAAAGACTTTAAGTAGGCTACAGTCTGTCTTTTTATTAAGACTGAGGTGGAAACGATTAATTATGACAACAAATTGCTAAACTTAACTTTGACTTAAGTCTGCACTCAAATTGTATGAACTGTATGAATTAATGCAACTTAAGCCCTTTGAGCTGTAGTTCTTTGTTTTCCTCATTTTTGCTGACAAGTTAATTAGTGACTTGCTCTCACTCACTTGTGAAAGGAAGGCATGTGAAAGGAATGTGGGGAGGTTTTGTTTGTGTATCCTTTTTCTGTGACGCGCACATCTACCTTGTACAAGTGTAACAAAATAACCAGAGGATAGGAAAGTCAAAATCCCCAACATGGCTCAACTTCACCATGTTTCTTACACAGCATATTTGAAAAGTCCCTAGAAGAAATAGTTCAGCTCAAGGAAGCTTATCTTACTGGCACCTATTTTAGATTTTGTTGTCTTATCAGAGATTAGAATGTTAAACAGTTACTGTTTTGCAAAAAGTCCCGTACTTCACCACACCGAATGGGTAAACTGTGAGTAAATGACCTAGCTTTAATTCAGTGGGTTGAACAAAAAAATACCTAAAAATGTGAGGAACTAAAGCATCAGAGGCTCAAAAGTAATTGGACAAATTAAATAACTGAAAATAAAATGTTCATTTATAATACTTGGTTAAAAACCCTTTGCTTTGCGATGACAGTCTGAATTCTTGAACTTCATGCTGAGTGACATGCACCTTATGGTTAACTTGGATATCAATATGCCTACCTCCTGAAGAGTGTTGTTCACTTGGTTTGCTGATGTGAAGGGGTTTCTCTTCACCATGGAAATGATTCTGCGATCATCCACTGTTGTCTTCCGTGCTTTCTTTATTTCTCAAGATGTACCAACCTGCAGCAGCTTTCAGTTGCTGTTTGTTGTTTGGGGGCGTTTCTGTCGGAGGTTTTGTCTTCAACAGGTGGAATGTATATTCAATGGGGTAAGATCAGATGACTGACTTAACCATTCAAGAATATTCCACTTCTTTGATTTAATAAACTCCTAGGTTGCTTTGGCTGTGTGTTTTGGGTCCTTGTCCATCTGTATTATGAAATGCCGCCCAATCAATTTGAATGCATTTAGCTGGATTGGAGCAGACACTATGTCTCTAAACACCTCAGAATTCATTCAGCTGCTTCTGTCCTGTGTCACATCATCAATAAACAATTATTTTTGTCCTGTATATATATAAAGTGAAGACTATCAATAACACATCAAGCATCCTTTTTTTCTTCTTAAATTTCAGGGAAATGGGCAGTAAATTGCAGGCTGCAAACAGTGGTAGATCTTGTTCTCTTAAATACTCATGTCCCAAAATTGTGCACTGTGAAAGGTAAACTAAAAATATGTACAATTAGCCAGTAGCAAAATACCTGTTTCCTTGCTTTTCAGTGTCAAAATTGACGGTGACAGTAGCTTTTTAACATCATAAAAGTTCTTTGAATGCATTGACCATAAATAAATATGTCCCCAAATGTTAGGTTTTCGGCTACAAGAGCAAACATAATAGTCAAGCTTAAAAAGTAACAGAAACAAATTTAACATACTT